AGGAAAGCCTGAATTTCCAGCTACTCTTACACCGAAGGTTTGTGTTTATTACAAGAGTCTTCATTTTTTACCTTTTCCAGTCACCAATTCCTATGGGTCTCATACCTGACATTCCCTCAAAATGGCATGCAGGTATTTATGACTGGTTAGCACTGGCACATTTACGGGTCACTTAACTGAGTGAGGGCTCTAATGTAAGCATGCAGCTAGGACATCTAGCTACTCTTGGTAAAGAAGAAGCAGCATGAGGTCTTACATTTATTGTTCTATGGGACTTTAGTACTATCAGAATGAGAAACATTTAGAAATGCTGAGGGATGTATTCTTGCTGTATTCTGATTCCTTACCCACAGATGGAAAACATTTCATTTTTTTGAAAATAATGCAGAGAAGAACTAAGAGATAAGGAAATTAGGCAGTTAAGATTTATGTACAAGTTTAAATGTCTGGGTTTTTTGCCTTTATAAAAAGAATTTAATAATGCATTTTGGGAATATTGTGTGAAATGTTTTTTAGGTGAGTTTGTTTTTTGCTTGTGGTTATTGGGATATGTGGTATATGTGTTAGAAGTAGAATATATAGGGTGCCTGGGTGGCTCAGTTGGTTAAGCGACTGCCTTCGGCTCAGGTCGTGATCCTGGAGTCCCGGGATCGAGCCCCACATCGGGCTCCCTGCTCAGCAGGGAGTCTGCCTCTCCCTCTGACCTTCTTCCCTCTCATGCTCTCTCTCTACCATTCTCTCAATAAATAATAAAAATCTTTAAAAAAAAAAGAAGTAGAATATATAGTATACAGAATACAAATTAGAATGTAGAAGTTAGGTACAAATGATTTAGTGTATGATTTATTTATTTTTTAAAATTTCTGACATATATACGTTTCTAAGACTTTGACCTCTTTAACTGTGCAGAAAAGTCAGTGGGTTCAATAAGCACCCTCTTGAATCACCATGACTGATGCCCTGTAATGGATTCAGCTAATAGGAACCAAATCTGATACTGTCAAATAGGATTAGTAGCCATGCAGGCCGGCTTGAGCAGTGCCTGAATGCCACGTGGATAAGGGTGACTAGGCTTGTTGGGCATCTTAAGCAGGCTGGTTGTTGAATTTCATATTCCACGAAGGTCCTTGCTCTGTGGTGGCAGTCCTTTTCTCCAAATTGAATCAATATTCAGTTCTGACATTTGTCTTGTGGACCTTTTTGTTTCTTTGCATGGTAGAGTGTTTCTGATTTTAATAGGTTGGTGAAGAAAAACCAAGGAAATGTAAAGACTTTTGTCATCTTGCACTTCAGAAAAGACTATTGGGGAACTCTTTGGAAATCACACAATTCATCTTTGTTTTGCATTGGATTTTAATTCTTGCTCTGAGATCTTTAGTGCTGAATTTACGCACCAAAACTGGACATTCTTAGTGGTAATATCTCTTGGATTCACTACATTACTGTAGTGCTACTGTTTGTCAGCAAAACATTTTTTTTTATTACTTTAAGTAATCTTTTCTTTTTCCATGTCTCTGAGGAAAATTTTAAGTAGGCTGGCTATCTTGACACATTACATTTCATAAGGTATTTAAGGGAAGAACATATTTAGGTCTTCTTTGATTTCATTTATTAGTTATAATTTTCAGCGTATAGATTTTTCACATGTTTTGTTAGATTTATACCTAGATATTTAAATTTTTTTGAGGGATTGTAAGTGGTCATAAATTTTAAAAATTGAAGTTCAATATTGGATCATATTTAATTTTGTTCAGTTTATAAAACATCTACATTTTTAAAGCAAGTATAAATATTCATCTATTTTCTTTAATATTACTTTATTAAGACCTGTTTCAGGCATATGAAATACAGATGAAAAAATAAAACAAACACTATAAAATGGTATCATGATGTGAAGTTTTAAAAATTTTAACAGAGTTGGATTTACCAGTATTTTTTCTTACGATATATCCTTTCTGTGTCTTTATTTATTTATTTATTTATTTTTATTTTTTTTAAGATTTTATTTATTTGACAGAGAGAGACACAGCGAGAGAGGGAATACAAGCAGGGGGAGTGAGAGAGGGAGAAGCAGGCTTCCCGCCAAGCAGGGAGCCCCATGTGGGGCTTGATCCCAGGACCCTGGGATCATGACCTGAGCCGAAGGCAGTCGCTTAACCAACTGAGCCACCCAGGCACCCCCCTTTCTGTGTCTTTAAACATGAAACCTTCCATGCCTCAGTGTCTTAAAAGTATTTTCCTGTATTTCCTTCCATTACCACCGTTAAGATAATGAACATGCCCCCCCATATTTTCTTGTACCTCTTTGTAATCCCTTTCTTTTGCCTTTCCTTGATATTCTTCACTGCTTTCCCTTTCTCCCTCTTCCCAGGCAACCCTTGATCTATTACTATTCTTTTCCATTACTGTAACTAGTGTACATTTTCTAGAATTTTATATATATATATGAAATCATATAGTATATACTTTTTTGTCTGCTCTTAGTGGGGTAATATATAATTAGTGGTTAAGATTGTAGGATCTGGAGACAGACCAGTTAATCTTAAAGTCCTGCTCTATTGCTTATTTATAACTATCTTTTCTAAGTCTCAGTTTCCCACGTTGCCATGGGAAAGTGAACTTTTCCACAGGGAGAATGCAAATGAAGAAGATACGATGCTTGAGGATAGAATTGGGGGGATTTTTAATATACTATATATAGGGTTGGCAAGTATGTACATGACCAAATGGAGAAAGGTTCAGAAATCTGAGGATAGAATGAAGAAAACCACTTAATTTAGAAGTAAAGATTTGTAAAATAAGTGACTAAAATAAAAAGGAGATGATAAGAGGCTGTGTTTGAAAGGATTGCTCAGGCTGGGAGAAAAACAAGACAAACCAGAATAGGGATGAATGACGAAAAAGAGATGATAGATGATGGGTTGTGCTATGCACCAAGAGTAGATTTAGTAAGTTGAGAGGAAAGAAAACGGTTGTTTCAAAAATAAGAATTGAAGTATTTGGAAGTTTTTAGGTGGACCTTTCCAGAATATAACGAGGTTACCATATATCATTATTAGAATAGGGGAAAATCAGAAGTGAAAAGTATTTATTGAGGGGGCATGGTAGAACTTGTGGTGAAGAATTATAAATGGAACCTACAAAGATTACTTCCCCAATTTCTGGCTTGGTGGGACAAATGGCATTGAAGTGGTTGGTACAAGTGTAGTTTAGCAGAGTGAAATCTGGTTTATTTACATGTTTTTCCTTTCCAGCATAGTCCAAGATAATTTGTAAGTACATAATGACTTAACTACAGAGTCTCAAATGAGACTAGTCTTGTAAGAAAATTTTCCATAGTACTTAGCAGTAAGTACTACCATACACACAGTATTGGTTCTCAGATACCTTATAGCTTAGATGTAATATTAAATTTTCCCTGAGAGTTTTGGTGTACTCTAAATGTGAGTCATTACCCATGTTACCTGTTTTTTCTTTGTGGGTTGGTTAATCCATAGACAGCCAGGAAAAATAATATAGGACAAGTTCAAGATTAAGGATGTTTTATAGAAATATACTTGTATCTTAGATTTGCACTTTCAGTGTTGTAGCCACCAGCTATATGTGGCTATTGAGCACTAGAAATAGGGTAATCCAAATTGAGATATGTTGTAAATATAAAAATTAGAATATGCATTGGACTTTTAAGACTTAGTATGAAACAAAGAATGTAAAATAAAATAGTTCATTGATAGTTTTTAATATGGATTACATATTTGGAATGACAGTTTTATAGTAGATTAAACAAGTTATAATATTAAAATTAATTTTGTTACTTTATTTTTTAATATAGCTCCTAGAAAATTTCAAATTTCATATGTGGTTTGCATATGACTCACGTTATATTTCTGTAGAACAACACTGTCTTAAGTGGAAAGAAATCCACGTCCCTATTTTGCAATATATACATATATATTTTGAAAGATTTTATTTATTTATTTGACAGAGATAGACATGGTGAGAGAAGGAACATAAGCAGGGGGAGTGGGAGAGGGAGAAACAGGCTTCCCGCCGAGCAGGGAGCCCGATGTGGGGCTCAATCCCAGGACCCTGGGATCATGACCTGAGCCGAAGGCAGACACTTAACAACTGAGCCACCCAGGCGCCCCCCTGTTTTGCTATAATAAATGTGTAACTATTTGCTGAATTGTAAATTCTTAGTGGAAAAGCAAAAAACAAAAACAAAAACAAAAAACCCCAAAATAAATTTGATGTGTGAGTATGCTTAATGAAATTTGCTTTGAATGGATTTAAAAATATGTACTATCATTAGATTTCTTTGATTTCATTAGATTTCTAGTTATTTGAAAGTTATATTTAGTGAAAGCTGTTACTAAACATGGGAGATAAAGGTAACTGGATGCCAGACTTTAGCTGACTGGTCTTTGGGCATGAAAGTGGACCTTTGCTTTCCTTTGTACAATGTCTCAATGCATTATGGGATTGTTGGTCTAAAAAGCATCATATTCTATCTCTAATTTCTATTATGTGATACAGCAAGTTTCATGCCTGATGATGCTTATGGTTTTCTTTCTAATTTTAGATTTTCTAAAGCAGTGTAGCATCACTTGGGAACTTGTTAGAAAAACTAATTCTTGTGCCCCAAACCCATTGAATCAGAACTCTGGTGGCTGGGCCTGGGAATCTGTTCAAACCCTCCAAAGAAGTGGCAAAACTCAGTCTCTTATAACAGTTCTCCATTTTATCCCTTGATTCAGATCATTTATCCTGGTATCATTGTATATTTAACTGATGTAAATTTTATTTTTATTACAAAAGTGCTCATAAGGTTTTAGGGTTTAATTTCTAAATAGTTATAATTATATTTAGAGTGATATTTTTTTTGATTCTAATGAAAGTTTACTATATACATATCATTTGGGCAACTATACACATGTATTTGGAAGGGATTACATTCCTTTCTTTTCATTTAATCATTTGTAAAAATGTCACATTTTTAGGTGGATGCTCTCCGATTGCGTTTGGAAGAGAAGGAAACCATGTTGAATAAGAAGACAAAACAAATTCAGGATATGGCTGAGGAGAAGGGGACACAAGCTGGAGAGATACATGACCTCAAGGACATGCTGGATGTGAAAGAGAGGAAGGTTAATGTTCTTCAGAAGAAGGTAAGGTGCACGTGTTCTGAGTTTAGTTTCCTACATCTGGCATATATCCTCACTCCTACCATGTATGTGTGTGTGTGTATATGTGCATATATATATATATATATTGATATCCTTCTCACCCTTTCCTCTGAAATGCTCACTTAAAAATTTTTTTTATTTTTTATTTTTCTTTTATTTTTAAATTTTAATTCCAGTATAGTTTTTTTTTTAAAGATTTTATTTATTTGAGAGAGAGAGAGAATGACAGAGAGAGAGAGCACAAGAGGGAAGAGGGTCAGAGGGAGAAGCAGACTCCCTGCTGAGCAGGGAGCCCAACGCAGGACTCGATCGCGGGACTCCAGGATCATGACCTGAGCCGAAGGCAGCTGCTTAACCAACTGAGCCACCCAGGCGCCCTTAATTCCAGTATAGTTAACCTATATAGTGTTATATTAGTTTCAGATGTGCAATATAGTGATTCAGGAATTCTGTACATACTTAGTGCTTATCATTAAGTATACTCTACTCATCAGGGACATTGGCCTGTAGTTCTCTCTCTCTTTTTTTTTTGAGTAGGCTCCATGCCCAGTATGGAGCCTGATGTGGGCTTGAACTCATGACCCTGAGATCAAGACCTGAGCTGAGATCAAGAGTCAGATGCTTAACCTACTGAGCCAACCCAGACGACTCTGTAGTTCTCTTTTATTGCAAGAGTCTCTATTTGGTTTTGGTATCAGGGTAATGTTGGCCTCATAGAATGAATTTGGAAGTTTTCCTTCCTTTTTTATTTTATTTTATTTTATTATTATTTTTTTAAAGATTTTATTTATTTCTTTGATAGAGCAAGAGCAGGAACACAAGCAGGGGGAGTGGGAGAGGGAGAAGAAGCAGGCTTCCCACTGAGCAGGGAGCCCGATGTGGGACTCGATCCCAGGACCCTGGGATCATGACCTGACCGAAGGCAGACGCTTAATGACTGAGCCACCCAGGCGCCCTTTCCTTTTTTATTTTTTGGAATAGTTGGAGAAGAATACATATTAACACTTCTTTAAATATTTGGTAGAATTCGCCTGTGAAGCCATCTGGTCCTGGACTTTTGTTTGTTGGGAGATTTTTTTTTTTTTTTCATCCAACAAGAAGCCATAACTTTATTAATGATAGAAACAGTACAAATTTCAAACCAAGCTGCAGTTATTCTTTTGAAACACCAAAAAAAGTCCTCGTTTTCAGATGGTTACATTCTTAATTCCGTAATAGCATTTATAATATCATTACTGTTGTTCTTCGGGGCTCGGACTGCATTTGCTCTTGACACATTTCCTTGTGACATGACCATTTCTATATCCTTAACTTCTGCATCGGTTTCATCACCCTCTTCTTCTTCACTTTCTTCTTGTACAGTTGGAGTCTGTGTGTTTTCCTGAATGTTTGAGACAGCTTCACCTTGAACTTTGAATTTCTCAGCAGCTGCTAGTTGTGCTTGCTGAGATAAATCCTTCATCTTGGCTTCCCCAAAAACTATGTAGGTATCTGAAGGTGGGCTCTTGTAGACATCTGGTTTTGTGATGACAAAGGGGATATTCTTAGATTTCCGGATAGTGACTCTTGTAACCCCTGTAACCTGTCGAAGACCCAGTTTGGACATAGCCTTCTGTGCCTTCTTTTCACTCCGGCTCTGTTTTGCTTTACTGACTGGTTCTAAATCGATTTCAGCAGCTGCTGCCAGCTGGGCCTGTTGTGTGGTTGCCTGTGTAGAATCCTGTTCCTCAAGCTCTGGTACTGATTCATCACTGTCAGATTCTGTTCCAGATCCTGTCTCAGCCTGGGGCTGTGGCAACTCCTGCTCTGTAGCAGGGACGGTTTCTGTGGCTTCACCAGGCATTTTGTGAGGGGAACGTGGAACCAAGATGGCGGCAGAAAGAGAGCGAGCGAGAGCCTGTTGGGAGATTTTTGATTACTGATTCAGTTTCTTTGCTGGTAGTTGGTCTGTTCAAGTTTCTTATTTCTTCCTGTTTCAGTTTTGATAGTTTATATATCCTGGAATTTATTCATTTCTTCTAGGTTGTCCAGTTTGTTGGCATATAGTTTTTGATAATATTCCTGTACAATTGTTTGTATTTTTCTGATGTTGGTTATTTCTTCTCTCTCATTTGTGATTTAATTTATTTGGGTCCTTTCTCTTTTCTTTTTAATAAGTCTGGCAAGGGGTTTATCAATTTTATTAATTTTTTCAAAGAACCAGCTCTTCTGGTTTCACTGACCTGTTCTTTTTCTTTTTCTTTTTAAAGTTTCTGTATCATTTTATTTCTCCTCTAATCTTTATTATTTCCTTCCTTGTGTTGGTCCTAGGCTTTGTTTGTTGGTCTTTTTCTAGCTCCTTTAGGTATAAGTTTGGGTTGTTTATTTGAAGTTTCTCTTGCTTCTTGAGATAGGCCTGTATTGCTATAAACTTTCCTGTTAGAACTGTTTTTGCTGCATCCCAGAGGTTTTGGACCATTGTGTTTTCATTTTCATTTGTTTCCATGTACTTTTTAATTTCTTCTTTGATTTCTTAGTTGACCCATTCATTGTTAAGTAGCATGTTGTTTAACGCCCATGTATTTGTACTCTTTCCAAGATTTTCTTGTGGTTGACTTTTAGTTTCATAGTGTGGGGTTAGAAAAGGTGCATAGTATGACTTCAGTCATTTTGTATTTATTGAGGCCTGTTTGTGACCTAATAGGTGTTCTATTCTGGAGAATGTTCCATGTGCACTTGAAAAGAATGTGTTCTGCTGTCTTAGGATGGAATGTTCTGAATAGATCTGTTAAGCCCATCTGGTCCAGTGTGTGATTCAAAGCCATTGTCTCCTTGTTGACTTTCTGCTAAGATGACCTGTCCGTTGATGTAAGTGGGGTGTTAAAATCCCCTATTATTTTGTTATTAGCAATTGGTTCCTTTATGTTTATTATTGTTTTATATATTTGGGTGCTCTCATGTTGGGTGCATGAACATTTACAATTGTTGTATCTTCTTGTTGAATTGTCCCCTTTATTATTATATAGTGCTCTTCTTTGTCTCTTAACAGTCTTTGAAGGCTAGTTTGTCTGATATAAGTATTGGTATTCAGCTTTTTTTTTTGACATCCATTTGTGTAGTAATTGTTTCTCCATCCCCTCACTTTCAATCTGGAGATGTTTTTAGGTCTAAAATGAGTCTCTTGTAGGCAGCATATAGATGGGTATTTTTTTTTAAAATCCATTCTGACACCCTGTGTCTTTTGATTGGAGCATATAATCTATTCACATTCAGAGTAATTATTGATATGTATTTATTGCCATTTTATTACTTGTTTTGTGGTTGTTTCTGGAGATTTTCTCTGATCCTTTCTTGTCTTTTTCATCTTTTGCTGATTTTCTGTAGTGATATATTTGGATTTCTTTCTCTTTGTTCTTTGCATGTTAGTGTTTTTTGATATGGTTACCATTAGGTTTGTATATAACCTCTTCTGCAAATATCGGTCTATATATATGTGTGTATATATATATTTAAAAGATGTATTTATTTATTTTAGAGAGAGAGTGTGAGCATGAGAGGGAGGGGCAGAGAGACAGGGAGAGAGAGAATCTCAAGCAGACTCCCTGCTGAGCATGGAGCCTGATGCAGGGCTCCATCTCACGACTCTGAGATCATGACCTGAGCTGAAATCAAGAATTGGAAGCTTAACTGACTGAGCCACCCAGACACCCCCAAATATCACTCTATATTAAGGTGATGTTCATTCAAGTTTGAACCCATTCTTTCTTCCTTTCCTCCCTATGTTTTAGGTATTTGTTATTATATTTATATCCTTTTTTTGTGTGTGAGTTCCTTGACTGATTTTTAGAGAAGTATTCATTTATACTGCTTTTGTTTTTCCTACCTTTTATTGTCATTTTTGGTCTCTCCTTTCCATTCACAGAGTCCCCTTTAATATTTCTTGCAGGACTGGTTTAGTGGTCACAAACTCCTTTAGTTTTTGTTTGCCTGGGAAACTCTATCTCTCCTTGTATTCTGAATGATAGCCTTGCTGGATAGAGTATTCTTGGCTGCAGATTTTTCCCATTCAGCACTTTGAATAGATCATGTCACACCCTTCTGGCTTGCCAAGTTTCTATTGAGAAATCTCCAGCTAGCCTTATGGGTTTTCCCTTGTAAGTTATGACTTCTTTTGTCTTGCTGCTTTTAAGATCTTTTCTTTATCACTGTATTTTGCAAATGTAATTACAATATGTCTTGGTGTTGGCCTGCTGTTAATGATTTTGAGGGGAGTTCTCTTTGCCTCCTGGAGCTGGATGTCTGTTTCCTTCCCCAGATGAGGGAAATTTTCAGCTATTATTTCCTTTTTTTTTTTTTTTTTGAGATTTTAATTAATTTATTTGACAGAGAGAGAGAGAGTGCATGCACAAACAGGGGGAGAAGCAGGCAGGGGAAGAGGGAGAAGCAGGCTCCCCACTGAGCAGAGAGCCCGACGTGGAGCTCAATCCTAGGATCCTGAGATCATGACCTGAGCTGAAGGCAGACGCTAAACTGACTGAGCCACCCAGACACCCCTCAGCTATTATTTCTTGAAATGAATTTTCTGCCCCCTTTTCTCTCTTCTTCTTTTGGGACTTCTATAATATGAATGTTAATTATGTTTGATGAAGTCACTGAGTTCCCTAAATCTATTCTTGTGTGGCATAATTCTTTTCTCTCTTTTGTTCAACTTCATTGCTTATCATTACTTTGTCTTCTAGGTCATTAATTTGTTTCTCTGCATCTTCCAGCCTGCTGTTCCTTGCATCAAGCATGGTTCTAATTTCATTTATTACACTCTTCATCTCTTTTGATTCTTTTTTAGCTCTCTTATCTCTGTGGTAAGGGTCTCACTGATATCTTCTTTTCTCAAGGCCAGTGAGTATCCTTATGATCTTTGCTTTAAATTCTTCGTCAGGTATGTTCCTTATGTCTATTTCACAAAGATCTCTGGCTATGGCCTTATCTTGTTCTTTCATTTGGGA